CTGGTCACGGCCGACAAATGATCTTCCAGTGTCAGCCGTGGATCCAGGAGGACTCCCAGATTGCGCGCCCTCTCTGAGGGGGCCAAAGATTCGCCCCCTATAGACAGCGATGGAACCAACTGACTATGCCGGGGCGCCGGCAGCCACAGCCACTCGGTCTTGGAAGGGTTGAGTCTGAGTCTGTTCCTTCCCATCCAGATGATGTTACTTAGTTTGGATACTGAGACATCTGCAAGAAAACAACCAAGCTCAGAGAGCATCAAGGACCCTTCATAATTAAGTTAAAAAATACAATATGAAATTTGACATATTTACATTTTTTTATCCTCAATGGATAATTTTGCAGATACAAGAGGCATCTCTATTTATATTATTGAACAGTAAGTTGAAGAAACTACCTCGGAATTTCTTCTGAAATAGCAATACATTAAACATAAAATGCCTGGAAGTGACCAGGCTCTGCAACCGTATCTAATCCCTAGTTTAAATCCTTCTATCTCCTATATGCAAAGACGCGCCTAGGTCACTTTGGAGTTTGGATTCAGTGAATGTGGGGGGCACTTTAAAATGGCTTTGAATATTGTATTAAAGTTGTAAAGTGCACAACTAATCTTCCTCTTCTCGTTACATCCTCCTCCAAATGATGTTCCATGCTTTACAACTTATTACTATATCAAAAAACAAATTGTTGCCAATTGGGAAAAGTTAAAAATGTTACCAATAAACATTGCTTTGGGAGATTAATTAAAAATCCTAATAACTCTGCTTTGAATTGACAATGAAAATATAGAAGTGGTCTGCTTTTTAGGATCAACTAGAGTAAAGGAACAAGCAATCAAGAAATGTGGTGCAAATAGCACATGGTAGGGCAGCCAAGATGCCCTTTGAAAAGATATTAAGATGTCATGATGTATCCATCCATATAACATTCAAAATAGTGCAAACAATTTTGAAGAAGCCAGATAGGAAGAATTTTGACCCTTTTTGAATAAGGCATTCAAGGCACACATGAGCAGGGTCAAATACTCTTATTTTCGACTTATTAGGCAAAGATCTAACTCTCTGGAGAAGGCTCTAATTGTGGGAAAGATGGAAGGAAAAAGGAGGACCAGCAACAAGGTGGATGAACTTAGTTATGGTGGTGATGACAGCACTGTTGGAATATCTGAAAGTCCAAGGTAGGGACAGATCATCATGGAGAAAATCTGCTTATCTGGTCATTAAGAATCAACACTGAATTCTGTCAAAGCCTACAAGAAAACAGGACTCTTACGGTTTCCTCCCTTAAAAATAAGATTTAAGAGTTATTCTATATACCATCTATACAATGTCATTAACCCCAGACTACTATCCAAAATAAAAGCAGAACTAAAGACAATTATATATAAATATTATATGGAATGATTGAAATTATTGTGTAACTAAGATATTAGTTCATCCACTACACAAGGAGGATAGCACAATTCACAACTACATAGGTCTGAAACCACACCTTGAAAAGTTATGGTAGTATCCTACTATTACTAGTAAGTCCTTCCACAACTCATAGGTGTTCAAGTAGTCTCAGTGTGTTACTCATAATCATGTCCCACTATTCACAGGCTAATAGAGGAGTAGAAAATTAGAAAACACTATCAAGTGAATTCTAGTTCTGAAAGATCTGTTTTTAGGTTTCCCACTACATCAGCAATACTCAAGAACTGACTTTAAAAAAAAACTTCATCCATAATGTAGCTGAAAATATTACTACATCTGTACTGCAAAAATTCAGATGACCACAAATGACAGCAAACAGTTTTCTATACCTCTTGTTGCCATTGTACTCCAGATTTTGGTCACTTACAAGTTTTCCATTTGCAGTATTGTAGCTAATTTTTGCTACTGAAAGGAATTCTTAGCTGGAGACTACTAAGACAAAAAAACTAACCAGAGGTATTTCTTACTTACCAACCATTCAGCACCCATTTGAAGTTATAAAGGTGCTGAAAAATGAGAGTTACAACTGATCCTCCCACGTTGCAGCTGTGGCAGCATCCCCAGAGTCACAGACTGGGATTCAAATGCTTGACAACCAGCACACATTTACAACAGTTGCAGCATTTGTTATCACTGTTTGCAACTTCAGAACCTTCAGTCAAGCAAAGTTAAGGAAGAAGCCAGCAGGAAGTTACAAGTTGTGATTTACTTGATATGCTTAACAACCACGTGTGATTCGCTTAACAACTGCAGCCAGAATTAACAGTTACATGACACTGCACTTAATAAGTGTGCCACTTAGTTACAAAGTTTGCCAGTCCCTATTGCAGTCAATGAAGACTATCTATATACAAATATTATATTATAAAATAACTATCATAAGGGCTAAGTAACCAAAGCATTATTTTAAAATGCATATAGAGTGAAAGTCAGCTTTCTAGTATTATTTAAAAAGCATGATAGTTTTGGAAAACTAAAAAGCAAGAATGGGAGCCAGAACCCCATAATTAAACATAGAAATGAGAAACTCACCTGGTCTGGGGGCGAGATCACCACTCAAACCAACTGCCTCTACAATGCTTGGTGTTAAAAAGTGGAGGTTTCGTAAGCTAGCTACATTAGGCCCACAGTACTGCTGAGGAGCTGGAGATGTTTTCAGGGTATTTGTTATAGGGGTTCCTAGAGGATCAAAGGTTTGAAAGATGGGAGATTTATAAATGGTCTCAACAGAGGCTCTGGTATGACAACCAGCCAAATCAGACTTGGGGATTTGCTGTTTGTTAATAGCAACAAACTCCTCTGGACTGGATGACCAAAGATCAAGCAAAGTTGTGGCAATTTGATGACTATTTATGCTTGATGGCCTCTTTGGAGATTTCAGCATAATTCTGGAAACAACTGAATTCTTCGATTTTCTGCCTGAATCCCACTTTTGCAAAGGGAGCGGATTTCTTTCTGATGGACTCAAAACAGTACCTGCAATTAGAAGTTAATGGTTAATCATTTTAATTACTTAAGTTTCCCTTACTGCCAAGTTATATGATGGTGACTTAATATAAGGCTTAATAATAATAACAGAAATAATAGAAAACAAAATAAAAGTTCATACATGCTGCAGATAAAAATGAAAATACCTATGCTGGGTCATGCAGTAATAGGTTTTTAAGTAACTAGAAACCTTTGTAAAAATCACTAACTAAATTTATAATAACATTAGATGAAATAGCAAGATTGCAACAACTTCTTTGGACACAAAAACACTCGCGATATACACATGGAAAATACAAGAAACTAGTATAAACCCTTTTCTTTGCAAAACTTTAGTCAAACTAATTTGGATTTTAGAACAGAACAATTGTGCAAATTTGAAGGCATTTTTAAAGGAAGACAGAAACCAATTATTTTATCTTCAATTTTTAAAGTCTATAAGAAATTAATAAATTAATCAATTTGCCATTTCAGACATAAAAGCGCATATACCAATCATTGTTATCTATATGATCAGTATGATTTTATCACTCTTGCTAGCTATCTATTACTACTTTATTGAAATCATAAGGAGTACCAATCCTGTTGTGTCATGGGCAAATCCCCATATTAACAGAAGACATGGAAACTGGTAGAAAAAGATGAATATACCACAATATGTTGATTGTAGGAACAATAGGGGCTATTGGTGTGGATTCAAAATATTTGACTTGTTCACACATGCATGCATTGTTCTACCACAGAAGAAATATCAAGGGTAGAAAACTATTATACTGTCAGGATTTTTCATTCAAAATTTAAGATCTTTTTCTAAACTCAGAGGGAATAAGCATATCTTTCTTATGGTCTCTGGGATGCTGGCCCAGGTACTAAAGATTGCAGACTTTATCTATAAAATATTCTTGACACACTGGTCCATTATTTAAGAAATCAAAATGTTGACAGAATAGCTTTATTAAAGATTCCAAAAGCTACGAAATAGCTCAAGAAATTTAATGGAATTCTTTTTCAATTTGTCTACCACATTTTTTAACAAGCATAAAAAAGGAGGTGGGGATGTTCAGGGCAATAGAAAAATTGCATAGTGGACCATGGGACTGAATCATAGAAAATGTAATTTTGAAAAATTACATTTTAAAAAATTTACAATCCACCAGATTTAGCATATGAGATAGGTTCATGTTCTCTCTCTCTCTCTCTCTCTCTTTCTCTCTCTCTCTCTCTCTCTCTCTCTCTCTCTCTCTCTCTCTCTGTGTGTGTGTGTGTGTGTGTGTGTGTGTGTGTAATATAATTTTCTAGTGGTTTCGAAGTATTATACTTGGTCTTTCAGTCAATATATTGTCAAGCACATTGCTTCTGAAATGACAATTATCCAACCTTCAATGAATCTTTTAGAAACAGTTTTTAAGACTTGGAAAAGTCAATTAAGTAATTGTATTCATTTTTTATCTCTTTCCATACACAGTATATAAATAAATATACTCCACTGACAATAATTAGATAATTCTACTATTACAACAAACTATGTTCTATAATCATTCCCAGGGAACTGCTGTAAATTTTTGTCATTTCAAAATTAATTTGACCTGGAGATACCTTGTTATTTTAATGCTAGCTTCATGTGATACCTTATAACCAATCACTGTAACTACACTTTATATCTATCATTATGAGCTGTAATAATACTGTATTCAAATCTTTCTTGCTTAAACTGTACACTGATCTAGTGAATATAATATAGCTTTAAAGACTATCTATCCTATTTAAATACTAATCATCTAGGAGAGGTTTTCTTCCCAGAAATCAGTATGTCAGTTTTATTCAAAAACCTATTACAGAATACAAATTTCAGATAGAAAAAGAATCCTCAGAAATGATAAGCGTCACCCTTCCCAGGTAGGCCAGATAGGAAACAGATCAGATGATGTAATTGTACTTTATTGTAAGGCTATATTAACAGAATCTTGCAAGTCTGAAAGTACAAATCTCCCACAATTTTTTTTATAGCATGATAAGTTACAAAGGACCGTTTATTTCTCTGCCTGTTATGCAGCTGTCGTCTCTCTCTCTCTCTCTCTCTCTCTCTCTCTCTCTCTCTCTCACACACACACACACACACACACACACACGCATACACACACACACACAGAGCACCTTTTCCCCTGCCTTTCAAGGTCATTCCCATGTACCATTACATTAGGAAATATGACATCTGAGATGACTTTCTTTAGCTACAGTACAAGATCAAATCAGAATTAAAAATACTACCCACCATCAATATAGATACAAGTATATATACACCTACTCACATATTTAAAAGGGAGAAACTCTATAAAATTAACAATGCATATGTAGCGCTACCTCCTCAGAGGCCGCCAATGCCCAGGCCCTCCCAGCCACGTCCCCCCTTGTCCAGCCTTGCAGCAATGTTCTTTAGAGATTGATGAGATGTCTTACAACCGGAGCTCACACAACATTAATGGGTGGCAGGCTCTTCTTGTTGAAGCAGGACTTTCAGGCACGAACTTAACCAATCTCAGTGGTTGATGCTCTGAAGATGTATATAACAGCTCAGGGCTGCTTTAGCAGCAGGAGTAACAGGCCCCTGAGCAATCGTTCAGAATCCGATGAAATGGGGGGGGGGGGNTCATCCCCCAGGGCAACTCCCCCCACAATGTCCCAGCACCTATGCCAGCAGCGATGGCCACAGTCCAGATGCCTCCAAAGTCCACAGCAACAGTTGGCACCACCAGTCTCTCTCCTCCTGGTGCTTCTTCTCTGGGATTCTTCTTCAGGTTTCAGGATTCAAAACCACCCCCCTCCCTTACTCTTTATTATTAAAATCCAAGGCTAGAAACCCCAGCCAACTCCCTTACTTCACACTCTCGCTTGCCTCCATCTCAGATATCCTCCCACGGAGGAAGCAATAAAACTTCACTCTATCTAGCCTCTATTTAAAATACCCTTGATAGAAAAATAAAATAAGCTTCCAGACCTTCTCCTCTCAACTCCAACCACACCGGCCTTCTCCTTTTCTTCCCTTTTCTATCCTTCCTCCTTCCACTCACGCCAGCCACACCCAAGCCAACTGCAGCTGTCCCAATCTTCCCCTTCCCAGTTAAGCTCCTGCAAGCACTCTCAGGCAGTCCCTGCTACACATAGAAGGGGTGACATAGTTTCTATAAGCTAAGACTATAAATAAAAAAATGTTACTGCCTTTGAAACATATATGAATTGGCCATTAAGCAAGATTACCTCAATCTTCTTATCAGGAGTGGAATTTATCAAACAAAGGAGCAGATGTATTAACTTTAATTGGCAGTGCATGTACAATGGGCACTTTAAAAGGATGTATAAAACAAACTCAACTTCTATATTTGAGCAGATACATATTGTATAAAAACTTCATATGGAAAACTGGTATTTTGAGGATGATTTATCATGTGCTGCCAACCCTGGTTTGAGCACTTCAACCATTTGAAATTAATTGAATAAACTGCAGAAGACTGAGTTGACTGTCAACTTACAATTTTTTTCCTAGGATTCCAGGATTTAAAATATGGCACAGGGTGAGGTTATGCCTAGAATCACCTCTCCCTTAGGACAGCTATCTGCCCCATCAGATCAAATAAGGTGAGCAAGCTCCTACACCTGCCTTTAAACATTACCATCATATGCGACCTAGGAAGTGTGCTTTTCTGTGGCAGGTCCTGCCCTGTGGACTACCCTTCCCCTAGACATTTAGCAGACCTCTACTCTCCTAGCCTTCTGAAAAGCATTAAGACCTGGCTTTTATTCCAAGCACTGGGATAGAATGAAAGAGAGGATTTAATGAAGGACCACATGGTGCCAACTTTTTAATGTTTGTGGTTTTAACATATAAATGTATTGTTTCAGTTTTTTATTGATGTTCTTGTAATTGATTGGGAACTCCCCAGAATTCGATATAAGATGGACAGCTATAAAAAGCATATAAAAAAATAAAATAAAGATGCAAGGAAAAATATTGTTGAATTAATTTCCTCCAAAAAAATTATTGGGGAATGGAGTCAAAGGCTGCCTTTAAGTTGATAAATGCAACAATAAGAGCTCCATTCAGAAAATTATATTTCTCTCCCAAATGATGCAATATTAGACATTGGTTTATTGTAGAATGTCCATTTCTAAATGCTGCCTATTCTGACAGTGGTACATTAACTACATTGTGAATACACAGTAGCTGTTTGGCTCCCTAAGACTGCTAGTCTGTTCAGTTCATGCTCATGCACTAACCAGAAGTGCATCACAGGGGATGAACTATCTCTGCACTCAGAAAGACTAAAAGCATTCTGCGGCGTCATCCTGGGGGTTTTCCCTCCACTAATGTCACCCCCCATTCAGGCATCACATTCGGGCAGGTCCAGCATCAGTTGGATTTGTACCTACATATGAAGTGCCATTATTTTTCCCACACAAATAGTGGTAACTATTTATCTACTTGCATGTAGCATGCTTTTGAACTGCCAGGTTGGCAGAAACCAAGGCAGCTAATGGGAGCTCACCCAGTCACATACCAGTAGGACTCAAACAGCTGGAGCACAAACCTTCTCCAGTATCTTTAAGCCACTGAGCCACTGTACCTCTCATTCTGGCAGTATAATATTTTTAGAATACATCCACTCCTATAATTTGTGGAAGAGAAATCTGGCATAAACTTTATTAATTACAGAGAGAAGATTAACTGGATGGTATTTGGCTGGATCTCATCTGTCTCCTTTCTAAAGCTTTTAGTAATTATCATAGAAGAATTTATAGTACTGAAAAAAGGAGCTAACACTGAAGCCCACCGTGAGACCATAGTATTTATTTGCTTGTTTGTTCAATTTAAATGCTGTCCCTCTCTCCTGGAGGTGACTTTATGGAGGTGAAGAGAGAAAAATACTAAGAACTATGTATTATACTTCATTTTTCACCTAAGCTTCAGGTTTCAAACACCTATATTTGAGAGG